ATTAATTTCTTTCTCTTTTTTTTAATCATACTGACCCCCATTATGAACTTTTGAATGATAGTGTATGTTACAATCTACACACAGCACAAAGTACATTAAATGCTGAATGTTTTTTTAACTATTAAAACGGCTTTGGGTTTCTAAATAGGAACAAATGAGAGATAAAGCTCTTTCAGCAGGCATCAGGTAAAGCTGTCTATTGTTCATGGTAAACATCATAAGTCTGCTTTATCTCCTCTCGTTTAGATGAATCACAGTCTGTTTTGTCAGAAAACAATAGTGAATGTTCAGATCTCTCATTTCACAGTCACCTGTGATCAAATTGTCAGTGCATACTGGCAATGTAGTGGCATTCATTTGGTAATGAAATTAGTCATGCAGCCTGTTGTAAAGAACTGCGATATGATTTCTGTGTTTTGCGTACATTTATTTGACTGAAAAATACAATATCAACAACTAAACAAAAGCATGGAAGAATAATATTTTACTTTGAGTGACGCATGCTTTGTCTCTTCTTAAGGAATCAAAGTGATCGGTGGTGTGAAAGAACTAACAGGAGAGGAATATGGCGTTTATGTGAAGAGGATCTTACCTGGTGGCCTTGCTTCCAGTGATGGTATGTTTTCTCAAAAACATTTTTTTTTATCACAGTTTGCCTTAACATTTGTCCAGGTGGTCTCCTAAAACATCAATTTATGTAAACATCAATTTATAGTCTCTCAGACACTGCCGAAAAAGATATAGCTCAGACAAATGTGAATTTCCATGCTGGTCCAGGCTAGTTTATTCTGGTTTGGTGCTGGTCTAGCTGTTAGACTAACAAAATCACATTGTTACCAGCAAAACGTAGCTGATGAGGCTAGTCATCCAGCATGGGAAGTTGAAATCTGCTCTGAGCAGTGAGTTTAATTCAATTGCTTTGATCCACTTTTTATATTCAGCAGTTTTTGCTAATAAACAAAATGAATCAATCTTGTTATTATCAATCAAAGCATCTACTGTATTAGAGATAAACTTTTTATTTACACTGAAATCTGTTAATATAGCCACATATACTGTATATATAATGTATAATAGCCACATAAATTGAACCTGAGAAATTTAAACACAAATTGAGAAAGGAAACTGTCAGTGCAGCTGTTTACATTTCTGCAATACAGATTGTCTGTCTCACTGCGTATACCTCTGCTTAAGTCTCTCACGTGTGAGGGGGAGTTTAGCGTCATCCCTGTGCTTAGAGTTAATGCCCCTGACGGACTGGAATTAGAGTCTGCCTCCCATTCTGCTGCTGCCGAGCACGGGGTATACGGGAGCTTATATGGGCACATGCGCTCTGAGGGGACTTTGTTTGTTTTTAGCCCCGCTCTCAGCTCACCATTCAGAGAAGTCAGCAAGCTTCCTGGCTGATTTCTTTGGTTTGGTGGAAAGACAAATCACAGTACCTATAATCCAGGTTGTCTGTAAAATCTGACACTGGAAAGGTGATATTTGGCTGAAGTGAAGTGAGTAGGACATAGGTGACCCCTTTGAGAATTTACAGCTTGTTCCTTTCCGGATTTGATTTGTTCTGACAAGATATCTCTGAAGTGATGGTAGAAGGGGTCGAGAAGACGTTGTTGTTAATATGCCTTACAGGAAAAAAAAAGATTGAGGGCTGTATGCTGTCTCTTCTACTGCTACAGTTTACTGAAACACATGAGGAGTCGCTAAATTATGTCAAAAGCATTGCAGTTCACATCACAGTAACCTTGCAATTACCTTAGCATGACAAAAATATCTATTACATTTATTTAGGTTATCAGCATTAGCTCTTTATGTTCTTAGTTCTTAAATTCTTCATTTTTTACTAGTACTTTAATGTACTACAGACTACAGATTTAATGACTACATATATTACTGTTCAACAGTTTGGGGTTGGTAAGATTTTTTAAATGCTGTTGATAGAGGCCTTTTATGCTCACCAAGGCTGCATTTATTTAATTTAAAAATTGCATTCCCATTTTCTCAAATAGCAAAAGAAAAACTCTGTGATAGTGTTTTCATGACTTTCAAAAAAAGGGAAAAAAAATAGAGACTGATAACGGCAGTCAGTAGTGAGAACAATGTCAAATTTACAGTCACTCCCATAGATGCTGTATTAGAAACATCCTCGCATAAGCGTTAATTAGTTGTTTGTAATTTGATGCAAATGTAATATAATACAAAGTATAGTGTTATAAATGTACATACATTAAAAAAAAAATGAAAATACAAAAAACTTTGGAGGATTTACAATGCTGTTGACTGTTGAAACGCATCATCAGTCTTGTGAAAAGGGTCTGTTGTGAAATATTGTTACAATTTAAAATAACCGTTTTCATATATGAAACATACAACATATTTTACATTTTTACAAAATGTAATTTATTCCTGTGATGGCAAAGTTGAATTTTTTAGCAGCCATTACTCCAGTCTTCAGTGTCACATGATCCTTCAGAAATCATTCTAATATGTTTATTTCTTATTATTTTCAATGTTGAAAAGCAGTTGTGCTGTTTAATATATTTTTTGGAACCATGATACATTTAATGCATCCTTGCTGAATAAAAGTATTCATTTCTTTTGAAAAAAATCTGACCGGCCCACTGAACTTTTGAATGGTAGTCTGTCTTTAAATGGCAAAAAGTATTAAGAATAATATGGAACGGTACATTCACGTGGGGCGTCGGCGTCAATTCGATGCCCTGTGTGAATGCACCGTAAAGAATACTATGTAGTATGTAATAGTAATATATTTGTCAAGTCATTTCATGGGTTTTTATTTATGGTCTTTATGGTTTTTATTTTATTAATGCTTTATTAGGAAACCTGCAGCCTGGAGACCAGATCTTAGAGGTGAATGGTGAGAGCTTGATTGGCGTGACAAGTGAACGGTACATACCTTGCTCTCTTGGTTTTTTCTTTTTTTCTGTTTAATTTATTTTTCTATTTTGCTTGTATGAACTCTGTGATGACTTTCTACCTGCAAAATTAGCCACTTGTCATTCTTTTATCACCTTTAAAACACTTAATGTATGATATTGTTGTTTGATTGCAGAGCGGTGGACATTCTTAGAGCAGCATCCTCAACCAATCACATGTGCCTTCTCATAGCCAGAGATGAGGAAGCCAGGTAAGCCACTGATCTATCCATTATAACACCATCCCTGAAGATCACAAACGTCATTTCAATTCAGACATTAAAAATTGTTGATTTTAAAAGCAGCTTCCAAAGGAAAAAAAAAACGTTTGAACATTAAATTATCAAAGCACATTGAGCACAATTATAAAATATACACTACCGTTCAAAAGTTTGGGGTCAGCAAAATTTTTTTTTAAAGAAATGAATACATTTATTCAGCAAGGATGCTATTATGAGCAGCAAATCAGCATATTAGAATGATTTCTGAAGGATCATGTGGCACTGAAGACTGGAGTAATGGCTGATGTCAGCTTTGTCATCACAGGAATAAATTACATTTTAAAATAAAAAATGAAAAAGTTATTTTAAATTGTAAAAAATAATATTTAGCAATATTACTATTTTTACTGTATTTTTTGGATCAAATAAATTCAGGCTTGGTGAGCATGAGAGACTTCTTTCAAAAACATTAAAAAATCTGACAGACCCCATACTGTTGAACAGTAGTGTGTGTATGGTAATAATATTTACAAATTAATATTTAAAATTCTTAATTATTTAAAAAATAATTATTACTAAAGATTTAACCTTTTAAGCAAACCAAAGAGTTTTTGTCTGACTCTACTGCATATAGTCCCTTTCATCGCCAACCTGCCACAGTAACATTTACCCAACATTTGTCATCACTTAAACTCTCTCATCCACTGATAGTGATCTATGGATGTCTGACCTGAGTATCTTTCATTTGAATGTCCACCCCTTAGAAGACATGTTGAATAATTCAATGAAAGATGAATAATTTTGTTCATAAACTAGATCTGACTGAGTATTGGCAGTGCATGTGAGTCTCTTGGCGTGCTATTCAAAGACAAGCTTTGGGCCCACAGGGCTCCCATACTGCCTCTCTCCACTGTTAACTTCACTCACTAGAAAAAAACTATCAGTGGAAAAACTACATTCCTGCTCATGGAAATGCTAGTGACTTTTTCACTCTTTAAAACTTTAGTTAAATTAGGTCTATTGTTTTTTAAGTAATGAGGAATATTTTTTTTTCAGGCATAAGCATTTATAATTCTCTCATTTTCCTCAAATTTTTCATGTAAATGTGAAATGTGAAATTTTTCCTATTCTAGTTTATTCTATTCTATACACAGACAATTATAAGGAAGCCATTCACAGGTTGATTTCCTGAAGAAACTAAAACACCATGATTCTGGACACTTTATAAACAATATTTTCATTTATTTGAAATATAAATCTTTGGTAACATTATAACAGCTTTAACTGTCACTTTTTATCTATCTAATGCATCTTTGATGAATAAAAGTATACATTACTTAAAGAAAACTACACTGCCCTCAAACTTGATTATAATATTGTATATCCTTAGTGTATGTAATAATGCTTGTTCATTTCCCTTATTTTTACATTTTGCCCTCATCTGTAATGCTCACAACTAACTACTAAATTAACAGTTAAATGTAACCTTTAGCAAATCTCAAAATGAATATCCATTTTTCATACTGTACACTGTACAAATTTATTTTTAGATGTTGTAAATAAAACAAAAAAGTATGTTTTACAAGAAAATACAATTTCAGTCTTTTCAAATGTTCATGTTCATGTGATACCTCCCATTTCTTTGCAAATGTTTGTGAAATCAAATAGCAATTTCTGAGTGAAAATTGTTTCTACATAATTTTTTTCAGTATACTGTTATAATGTTGTGATCCCTAAATTCACTTTTTATTTATTTATTTAGACAGAATAGTGCAATAACACCTGTTCATGCAGCATCTAGTTCAAATGAGTGAGTAAGCGACTAGAATAAAAGGATATTCCAGAGTTTGGTACACATCAGACATATATTATGCAGAATCCCAGATGTGTTTACTGTAAGAATCAGTGGCATGACCGCAGTGTACTTTTGAACTTTATATACGGACATACTGGCAGGAGATTCAGTCCCATGGGTCTGGACTGGCAGCAGTTTGCATGAATGAAGGAAGAACCCTGCATTGCGTGCATGGAGATACGGAGGGAGCGAGAGTGAGGGAGAATGAGAACAGACTCACAGTTTAAGCCATGATGAGATGAGTCCTTGCGTCTCCATGCTTTAATCTGCGTTCTGCCCTTAACCAATGCGCATTGAAGGGATTACGCCTCTGCCTCCATGCACAGACCTCCGCTGGCTTCACCCGCATATCAACAGCCTGGAAGTCTTCAGGGACCGAAAGACTCAGCGCAGCATTTCTGGGCTTTTTGTTTGTGTGTATTTATGAGGAAGATGGTTTAGAATGTGTATGTATCGAGACAATGCTCAAGCCTTTTAGAGTCAGCTCCTTACCATATGCATCACAACCTTGTCTGACCTCCCTCCCTTTAATCCGCACTGATAACCCGTCCTGAGGACGGAGGAAAAGGAGGAAAAAGCTCTTTTTACATTACATCATGTACTTCGAAAGCTGTCACTTTGAGTTCACCTAAATATTTTGGGCTTAGAATAAATATAAATCGGCTCTGGTATGGAGGAACGCAGAGATCTATGGGTCTACAGTAGTTATTGAAGGCTTGGCTGTCCTTATATAGTCTTCTCAACCGACAAAGTCACTTTGCATTGTAGTTAAAAGAAGCAAAGGTCTGCTTAGATTTGCATGTGTCTTTGGAGCCACTCAGGGACACCTGCATGTAGGTAAAGAGGCCAGTGGCCGAGACTGCACCAGTGTGTAATGGACACATGTCCATAACTGAATATGGTTTGAGTCCAGTGACAGGACATTTCTGTTGACCTATATTTGACACTCAAGAGGTGTCTAGGGGAAAATGGACTGAGATGGAGGGGAATATTTAAATAGACTTTAGATGGTGCCCAGCCCAACTAAAGGGAACTAAAGAGAACTCAGCATGTTTATTTTTACTCAGTAGACTGATCACGAAATCCATTGACATTGCTTTATATTTCAGTAACAGTACAATGATTTGGTAGGACCAGTTGTTTTCCAGCAATATATGACAACTATACATGAATAAACACACATTTACTGGAAAAGCTGATTATATAAATCTTCAATCTCCAGTTATTATTCCAAATTATGTTTTTTTTAATCATTTTTCATGATTTTTATTTTATTTTAAGCTTTTATGAAAATATTCTGCCATATATATAAGATATATATGTATTCAGGTCTCTAGAGGGTCATATCTGCTTAGAGGATATTTGGATTGTGTATATAACATTCCTGAGTCCTTCACAAATGAATTAACTGACATGATATTATTTTGGAATAGTGCAAGCTATTCTTACATAATCTGAGCGCAGTAAGAACCGTTATGTCATTTAGGTGTCTAAAGGTATTTGTTTTTTGATTTTTTGTATGATGTTATTGAAGGTTTCAATTTTTTTCTTGGTTGGTTACCTTAATTGTTATTTCCTCTTTTGTCTTTGTGTAGGCAAGAATTTGCAGAGCTCCTTGAAAAATACGGCTCAAACGGCAGCACAGGATCTACCAGGAATTCACCCATTCAGCATAGTACGTTTCTATTTTTCAGTCATTGTCTAGTTTATAGTAGACGAAATATACACATTTTAAATAGTATTGCCTTCTGTAAATTCTTTCATTTCTGTGCTCAGGTGTACTAGAATGTCTCTTTCCTAACCTCACTACTTCCCTGACATAACAAAGGTTATGAAATGCTGATTCATGCAATATGATCCTCACAACTGGCTAACAAACAGGAGGAGGAGAGGGAGAAAGCTCTTCATCATCATCTCTTTTTAATGTCTACAGTTTTACTCTTTCTCAAATATGAATGTAAAACAATATACATAAATACAAACTGTGTTTTCAAAAAGCAATCTCTTTTTTAGGACAATTATAATTATAATGTTTAGGGGAGAAACAAATCAGCCCTTGAAAATGGCGTAAGACAGCGCATTTGTCTATTATGCAATTCTGAACATCTGTTTCTGCCGGAGGAAAGACACTCCACAGAAAAAGCTGTTGAGAACGGAGCGTGTGCTCATGCACTGGCTGCTCAGTCTGATCCCTGCTCTCCCCTCAGTGTAGAATATTCTAATGATGTAACTTGCTTTAAGCATAGCAAATAGTTTCATTTGAGTCTTTAATTTAAAAGTGCAAATGAGACAGAGCTTTGGTCCGAAGTATTCGTCTGGACATTTTCTTTGACAAAACCACAAACTTCAGTTTGCAAACTTTAAACTCATGACTTTTTATGAACATGACAGCTTCTCTTGATTTCAGCACACCTTTTTATATACACTGCCGTTCAATAGGGATACTGAGCTCCTGTACTCGTACTCGTACTCCTTAAAATGCCCCGATACCAAACGCCGATACCACACAGCATGATTTTTTGTATGATGTTATTGAAGGTTTCAATTTTTTTCTTGGTTGGTTACCTTAATTGTTATTTCCTCTTTTGTCTTTGTGTAGGCAAGAATTTGCAGAGCTCCTTGAAAAATACGGCTCAAACGGCGGCACAGGATCTACCAGGAATTCACCCATTCAGCATAGTACGTATCTATTTTTCAGTCATTGTCTAGTTTATAGTAGACGAAATATACACATTTTAAATAGTATTGCCTTCTGTAAATTCTTTCATTTCTGTGCTCAGGTGTACTAGAATGTCTCTTTCCTAACCTCACTACTTCCCTGACATAACAAAGGTTATGAAATGCTGATTCATGCAATATGATCCTCACAACTGGCTAACAAACAGGAGGAGGAGAGGGAGAAAGCTCTTCATCATCATCTCTTTTTAATGTCTACAGTTTTACTCTTTCTCAAATATGAATGTAAAACAATATACATAAATACAAACTGTGTTTTCAAAAAGCAATCTCTTTTTTAGGACAATTATAATTATAATGTTTAGGGGAGAAACAAATCAGCCCTTGAAAATGGCGTAAGACAGCGCATTTGTCTATTATGCAATTCTGAACATCTGTTTCTGCCGGAGGAAAGACACTCCACAGAAAAAGCTGTTGAGAACGGAGCGTGTGCTCATGCACTGGCTGCTCAGTCTGATCCCTGCTCTCAAGTCAATTATAATTATAATGTTTAGGGGAGAAACAAATCAGCCTTGAAAATGGCTTAAGACAGCGCATTTGTCTATTATGCAATTCTGAACATCTGTTTCTGCCGGAGGAAAGACACTCCACAGAAAAAGCTGTTGAGAACGGAGCGTGTGCTCATGCACTGGCTGCTCAGTCTGATCCCTGCTCTCCCCTCAGTGTAGAATATTCTAATGATGTAACTTGCTTTAAGCATAGCAAATAGTTTCATTTGAGTCTTTAATTTAAAAGTGCAAATGAGACAGAGCTTTGGTCCGAAGTATTCGTCTGGACATTTTCTTTGACAAAACCACAAACTTCAGTTTGCAAACTTTAAACTCATGACTTTTTATGAACATGACAGCTTCTCTTGATTTCAGCACACCTTTTTATATACACTACCGTTCAATAGGGATACTGAGCTCCTGTACTCGTACTCGTTAAAATGCCCCGATACCAAACGCCGATACCACACAGCATAAGTGCCATATTCAGACAAAGAAACACCGACAACAGAACAACAGACCAAATCAAAAATTATTCAGAGACCAGATATAATGTTTGATTTTTTTTTTTTGCTAGTGGGTGCAGGACACTAAAGTTCATTTATGTAAGTGAGGATAGCATAATTTTTGGTTGATCGTAATCCATTACATACCTTTCTATCAAAGTTATCTAACATTATCAAGCTGAATTTGTTCTGACACAGTTAAACTCTGAGTTCTTGTCATATTTTTTTTACTATTTTCTAAACTATAGCGAATAAACTGTGATAATTATGAGAAATGTTGAAGGTGTCTGAATAAATTTTGGTTTGACTGTATCTATTTGATAAATGAAGTTAACCAACTAACATTATACATACTCTTTTGGTTTCTGTACCCAATATTTAAAAAATTTACAAATGCAATAAAAATATTGGTATCGGTACTCG